TGTAAACATAAAAATATACCCATGGGGCAATGGAGAGCCCACAACCTGATGCGCAGGCCTGAGGGGACTTGACGTGTGTTACAGAAGGTATCATGTCTACTGGAAAGGACTCTGCCGTAAATGGCAGAGAAATTGACTCGCCAGATAGAGAAGGAAAATGAAGTTGGATCCTCCAAAACATGCTCTGGAGGAATTAAAACTCTAAATGTGAAAAATGAAATCGATGAAGCTGAAGCATGGGGCCAAGCATGGTGGCACAGGCCTGTACTCCCAGGGACTCAGGAGACTGAGGCAGGAAGATAGAAAATTGGAGGCTAGACTTGGTATCTTAGCCAGGCCCTCAGCAACTTGGCAAGATCCTGTCTCAAAATAAAAAATAAAAGAGCTGGCAATGTGGCTCAGTGGTAAAGCTCCCCTGGCTTCAATCCCTAGTACCAAAAAAAACAAAGAAAAACCATATGGGGCCTTATCTTGAGGTGAATTATAAATAGATATATAGATATAATTGGGTGCAGGAAAGACAGTATATATATGAATGAAGGCTATCTTTGGTGAAGGACACCAAATATCATGGAAGATAGATGATGGATTAAGATGGGGTATTTGCTCTCTGACAACCAGAGGTCAATATCTAGCATATCTAAGGAACTGGTAAAAATGTCCAGTTGGGAAGAGAGCTACAGGAGAGACCAGGGCTCTCGCTGCCAGGAGATACATCTCCCTGGCCTCTGGGTGAGGCAGGGTTCATATCAGAGGAAGGACATGGAGGTACACGAAGAAGAAATCATTTCTTGAATCAATTAAGACTTTTAATAGGACAGGTATTTAGTAGCTGAGAGTAACTAAAAACTATGAACTCTGCTCAAAATGATGATTGGATGAGGAAGGAAGATTTGACTGTCACTGGGCATGTTGAGGGGGGACTATGATGATTTCAAAGAATAAAACCATTTTCAATGTGACTATCCTAACAAATTGAGATTCCTCAAGAAATTAGAAGAAGTGATATGTCGCACAATATCATTTGTGCAAATGATATTGAGCAACCGTATTGTTCGAAGATGCAGACGTCTTCAAGGATGTATTGAATATATCTGAGTAGAGAGACTTTTGAGAGGAAGCTGAAGGAGAAAATCAAGCCTGTAATCCATCAAGCCTCCAATTACAGTATGGGGGGGGGGTCCTTGCCTGACTGTATGATCCCCTGGACGCTAGGGGCCCAGAGAAAGAGTGAATAGTAGAGAGAATAGTAGAGAGACAGACAGATGGGTGGACATTGTATGTGAACAACCTCCTACCATAGCAATATAAAACCAGAACTCATTAACAAAATATGAACAACCCCATCAGAGGAAAATAAGTTTCAAAAGTATTAAATTACAAACAGAATTAAAATCTATAATTAGAATATTGAAACCCAAGAACACTACATATTGCAAAGTCACGGGCCTAAAGTGAACAAAGTTTAGCTCTTGTCTAAAATGCATTTTTAAAATTAGAGCATTATCTTTATACAGAGTATTTAGGTTCCTTTTGACTGGAATTTGATTTCAGTCCCCATTCCCCCTCCTCTTCCTTCTTCTCCTCCCTCCCCTAAAATATGTTTATCAAAACAACATATTACCCAAGAATGACTCCTCAAAGAAAGACATGTCTATGTGTTTGTTTTTTTTGTTTAATTATTGCGGTGCTAGTACTAGAACCCAGGGCCTTACATATGCTGGGCAAATGTTCTACCACTGAGTTATACCCCTATTCCTTTTCATTGCATGGTCGATAAGTTGTCCAGGTTGGCCTTGAACTTGAGATCCTCCTGCCTCAGCCTCCAGAGTTGCTGGGTCTATGCAGTTTCCCAATCAACTTCTATCCAATATCCAAGGAGATATCCAATTTATTTCATTTCAAATGCTCCTGAACATGGGCAAATATTTTTCAAGTGAAGCTTACATAGCCCTGATACTTTAACTCAAAAAAAAAAAAGGAATAATTATTTCCTTTATCCACCTTAAAGAAGAGCCAGCTCACTGGAGTAGGGAAAAAAAGGTTCTGTAGATCATTTGGCATGGATTGATGGACTGTGCTACTCGGGGCTGCTTGTTTGCTGAGGCCAGTACTTTTCCTGGGCCTGACATTATCTCAGGGTCCAGCACACAGTGTCTATTGGATATAGTAAATCAAACCCAGCTATTAGGCTTTTTAGGATGTCAGAAACCTTAA